AACAAATTTGAAAAAGCCATTCAATAGCCAAAAAATAACAAGGCCTCTGAAGGAGATGGGATCCCTGCTGCAGTTTTAAAACATAGTGGAGGTGCACGCTGGTAGAGCTGCACAACCTCATTACCCTCATCTGTGAAGAGTTCTGCATGATTGTTACAATATTTAAGAATGGAGACAAGTCAGATAGAGAAGTGTTTAAAACCAGCTCTGCTGACTAGAATACGTTGCTCAGATGACTGACATCACATTCCAAAGAACATGTTCTACTCAGAACTAGGTCGCATTGGAGACTGCCTGGAGGACAACAGGAAATATTGCTTTAGGGACATCCTCAAAGTATCCCTGAAGAGGCCAAACCTACCCACTGTATCATCTGGAACTATGGTTTGTGACCAACCCGAACAGGGAGGCTTATTTGCGCCTTGAGAGACCTCCATCTGCAGCATACAGAGGCAAACTTGAGGCATTGGCAAGAGTGGCCTTCATGTGGCAGAGTCATTTGTGCATTAGATTCAGAGATGGCTGATAAGTCTATCAAGCTAGAGTGGAGTAAGTCCTCTTTGATCCTGACAGATGGGATGTTATCATAAATGTGCAGCTCCAAATGCAACAAAGTTGGCAGTAGTTTTTTAAATTTCCATCATCAGTACACAAGCCGAGAATATTTAAGAATTCCAAGTGAAAGCTAATTCATGAATGTGATCTGCTGGATCCAGCAGCGTTGACCTATGAGGTAATGAATTTTTGAAATTGAAGCACTTCAATATCTTTCCTCTCCCCTACCATTTTTGGTTACTAGGGGCAGTGGAGTAATGAAGGAGAGAAACAAATTAAATCTGTCATGGTGCTTCCACAACACACACACCATCTGTGTCTGCGTTCAGTTTTTGTCTTCCCAGTGGACTGAATGAGATGTAACTCCAGTTTAGCCATGTCAGGCCAGGTTTGTTAAGCTTAAGACTGCACAGGGAGACTGAGAAGGGCTGTGCTTAGAGCCTCTGGTTTGAGGTTTCCTAACTTTCCAATGAAAATTCATTAATTGACAGAAAAGGAAGTGGGGAAAATGTTGACGTCTGTATTAGAAATCTGCCTTTTGGCATTTGGACTATCTTTTTTAGGATCTGATTGACAGATGAGAAGGAAGTGCAGTGAGTAGGAGTGTATTTGAGCATCAGTTATGATTCTGATTAAAAGATTAATCTTAAGGATTCTGTTGTAAGTAACTGGGTAAAATGTCATAGGGCACACTAAAAGCAATAGTGTAATGTTGAATTTGTTTGAGGAGTTTTTTTGTTTCAACAATGTCAGAGGTTCGGGAAATATAGCTGCATGATCTGTTGGTTAAACAGTTGGGAATATGCCCAACTTGAGTTGGAATCCAATCAAGTGTTAAAATACCTTTTTTGAGGTTTTGAATGATTTGGTGGTGTCTGCTTATTTCTCTTTTCCACCAAACCCCACCCAGGGAATGGATATCTTTGCAACTTTAATGCCAAGACATAATAAATCATCAGCTTTTCAAAAGAGGATTGGAATGAGGATGACTCTCATGGCAATTGTGGAAAGGTCCCAGCCAAAGATAATCTTCCATAAGTGTTTTTTTTAATCCCAATTCTGTAACGTATGGAGCAAAAACATCCGATGACATTTGGAAAGCAGAGAGCAGCTGGTACAATGCTGTGTTTCTTATGATCTGCAGGTGTTGTGTTTTTCTCACCCCGTTCTGCGTTTTCCAATCTGCATATGTCAAGTGGAAATGCTCAGTGTTCTTCATCCAGGAGTGGGGGAGAAGATGCCACATTGCTTGCAGGCATGCAATTCATTCAGGAGAGCCAAATGTCCACATTAAGCTGTCATGAGGAAATACATAACATACAGTGCTGGATTTTTAAACAGGTTTGCTAATTGGTCCTGGAGGTCAGGGCTCCATCTTATGGAATATGTCCCTGCAAATATCCTATTACTTGTGTATGCCTGTTGCTAGCTAGGCCAACCCTAATTTTCCCCCTAAGAACATGGTAGTGAGCTGCTTCTTGAATTGGGATGTAGGCACACCACAATGTTTTTCCGAAGGGAGTTCCAGGACTTTTACCCAATGACCATGAAGGAATGCTGATATAGTACCACATTAGGGTGGAGTGCAGTTTGAAGGGGAATTTGTAGGTGATGATTTTCCCATGCATCTCCTGTCCTTGTCCTTCTAAGCAGTAGAGTTAATGGGTTTGGAAGGTGCCATCAAAGGACCTGGACTATGTTTGGCTTCTTGACTGTTGCTGGAACTGCACTCACTGGGACATGTGGGGATGATTCCATTGCTCTCCAGACTTGTGCCTCAATTTGTGGACCAGCTTCGGGAGTCGGGAGGTGAGTTACTCCCTGCAGGATTGCCAGGCTGTAACCTGCTGCTGTAGCCACAGTGTTTATATGATGAATGATAACACCCAGGTTTTGATAGAGAGGGATTCAGAAATGGTACTACCATCATTGAACTTCAAGGGGTGATGGTTTGATTCCCTCTTGTTGGAGGGAAGGTCATTGACACTGTGTGGCACTTGTTACATTCCAAAGAACATGTTCTACTCAGAACTAGGTCGCATTGGAGACTGCCTGGAGGACAACAGGAAATATTGCTTTAGGGACAAACCAGAATGTTGCCTAGGACTGCTTCAGTATCTGAGCAGCTGCAAATTGATTCCTAGATGTTGACTGTATGAGAGTATTTCATGATGTTTGTCTGAAGTTGCTCCTGACTGTGGAAGTATCTCCTGAACAGATGGTGGTTTCTGAGATCACCATTGTTTTAAACTGTGTAGGGATCCAAACCTGAATAGAGTAGCATGTTGTTGTACATCTGATTATTAGTAAGACTCTGAGTTTAAGATGATTGGTGATGGTGTGAGTTATCAATGTTTTTTCATGTTGTTTTTTATTCGTGCAGTTTAGATTCTAATGCAATCGAGACTGAAGTGAAGCTTTCCTTTTGCTGCAAAAAAATAGAACTGGAGTAGAAATAGGCCATTCAATCCGTCGATCCTGCAATCGCTGTTCAACAAAAGATCTTTTACACCACAGTACGCCATCTGTGTGCCCTTTAATTCCCTTACTAACCAACGTTTATCAATATCTGTCTTGAAAATACTTATTGACAAAGCATTCATAACTTTTGTTATCGGGAATTCCACATATTCATTCTTCTAGTTTAATTTCTCCTCATTTCATTCCTAAGTGCTAAACCCTTGGTCTAAGACTGTGAGCCTTGTTCCAGATTTGTCAGGCAAGGGAAACATCCTGCTAGTATTTACTGTGGGTTGTGGAGATCTGAAATAAAGCAGAAAGTGCTGCAGAAATTCAGGTCTGGCAGCATCTGTGGAGCAAGAAGTCATACTGGACACAATGTTTACTCTCTTTCTTTCTCCACGTATGCTACCAGACCTGTTAAATTTGTCAAGCATTTTGTTTTCCTTCCAGCATCTTTATAGTCAAGCCCCTTTAGGATTTTATATGCTTCAATTTGATCACGCTACAATTCTTCTAAATTCCAAGGTCTTGAATGAAATTAATTGTGTCATTTTTCTGAACTTTTTTCATGTGCAAGCCTGCAGCTTTAAACTGCTCATAATGAATTGGCAGTTGTGTTCGTGGAGATTAGAAGAGTCACTGAAAAATGGAAATTTCACACCTGGGTGCAGTAAGATGCTGTATTTTGAGATGGCGGTCAAGGTTCATTGTCCTGTGTCTGACCCATTTTTATATGTGACCGGAAATGCTTGATTACAGTCTCTGCCTATCTGAGTGGGGATGTACATATAATGTGCGCTTGTGTAAAAGTCATTTGCACAATCTCCATGTGATGATCTTCAGAGATCATCTTTTAGAATGAGTTATTTAATTAACCTATTGGAAAATTATGAAGTTCCTGAAAAATTACTTTACAAAATAGCTTTGGTTATCACATGTTCCAATTATTATGATTGGCAATGTTTCCTTATTGGAACGAACAAGCATTCAAATTTAAATATAACATTCTAAAACCTCTCCACCCAATACCGTTGCAGTTTCTCCCTTCGTAGGGGAATTGCCACGTAGTTGTCTCAGTGAGATAGCGAGCTCTGAGCTATACACTTGTATCCAAAGAGTAACTAAGTTGTCACAGCTTGAATTCTGGCTTTTAATGGCTAATTTCCTGGCAGTGTATTAATGGAGTTTTGTTTGTGTATTGACTGTAAAGATTTATTCAGCAATAGTCAGAGTGCATATGAAGTGATGTTGTATTGCCTATTTACCCTTACAGACACACCAACTGGTGCTCACTATGAAAAGTTCAGTTCATAAATTAGGCCTGCAAATGATAGAAGGTGGTGTAAGTGAATAATGAAAAGGCCCTAATTTATTGGAAGGAGACCATACTAATAAACAAGGACCCAGACAATTTCGGCTGATTCCTTGGTATCTTCCCAGAGGAGCACTAAGGCTTTTGAAAGTGTCACCTGTTGGTATTCCTGCCAGTCCCACCTCTGGCACTTTGAATGCCCAGAAAGTCTGGGTGAAGCTGGTGTGGAGTCTTATCAGGTTCCTTATCAGGTCTGGAAGATATGCAACAAGACTTAGTGTATATTACTTTACCAGCCATTTACCTTCAACCCCTGAAAGTACCCGCCTAAGGAATTTTCTGATAGCAGCCATGTTTGCATGAATTGTTTAACTTTGTATGAAAAACAGAGCTCAGAAGAGGCAATGAGGATATTTTGTAGATTTTAGATTAAGATTTTGAAAAATGTAGACATTGGCCAACTGCTGAAATGAACTGTGCTTCCCAAATTCAGCTTATCTGAAACTGTAGTTCAAGATCTATTCAGTGAAAAACCCTGCATGCTCAACACCTGCTGTGACTCTGTGTGCCTCCTTGTTTCTAGATCCCCTCCATGGCCTCATCCTACCATATTTGGATAATATTTTGCAGCCATCGTTCTCTGGATTACACAGCTTGCCTTCTGCCTCCACCATTGCTTCATCAGAGCCTGATCTTTTAATTGCTGTGTTTCTGGTCTCTGGAAGTCTCTTGCAAACCAATTTTAATTTGCGACTCTTCTCTCCCATTCTCAGAAGGCTCCTGAGAAACCTATTAATTTAGGCATGCAATTGGTTCCACCCACCCTGAAATCCCTTTTATTTCCTGGTCTGGGTGCGATTCTCCAACCTGCAAAGTACTGTGCAGCCATCCTTTTTCCGAAGAGTTGTTTGTAGAAAAGTAAGTGTCTGCCAATTTGCTGTGCATGCCAGTTTTTTTTTAAAAAAAAATCTTGCTTGCTGCATTTCTGTAAAGTTCCTTACGCCAATTTTCCACGTTGACAGTGCTATATAAATTCAAGGAGCTGTTGTTGAAATGTGTGAAAATGTATGCAATGTGATTCAAGGAAATGAACAAATTTGTGTTTTGTTTTCCACTCTGGCTCTTGAGCAGGCAATGAACTTATTAACTAGTTGGCAAAGTATACGTGTTCTCCTGGTTTATTTTGAGGGGCAGTGTAAGGAGCATGAGAAATTGTTCCAGCTCAACTCTGTAAACAGTAGACAACAGAATGATTTGCATTTTAACACTGAATCACTGCTCACACCAACTCCAATGGTCAGTCAGTTAAATCCCCTGCAGTCAACAGTTTGATTGTATCTCCGATGGAAGTACTCTGTCATTGTCATTGTTTTTCCACTCTCTTGAGACCTGTGTGTTCTGAGATGGTGCAGTAATACTTGACTGTCTAAAAACCAAATGTAAAATAGCTTGGACCTGCCAAGTCCAACCAGAAAACCAGCAGCACCAGTGTGAATGTCACATGAATATCACGTCACATCAATATAACATAGAAGCAGTTTATGTTCATTCACCCTTCCAGACATTCCTTATAGAATATTCTTTCAATGTAGAACACTTCACTCACTTTCCTAATCATTTCATTTTCTTTGTTTTCTTTGAATTGATTTTCTTCCTGTCTTTTTTTAATTAATTCTGTGCTTGTTTAGGCAAAGGCTGGCATTCGAGTATCGAAGTTCAGATTGCTCAACGTTGTTGGCAGGCGGTGGAGGGGAGTGGTTCCATTGGCTAGCAGCCTGAAAACCGGTAATACCAGTCTGTATAAATGAAATTTACTGCGGCCTCTTCGTATCTAATTCAGCAAACAACATTCCTAGTTAGACCTTTTTTCTGTATTATATGTCAGGTTAAATAAAAGTTGGTGAACTTTCAGGAGCTCTTTAATGAGCAGAGATAGATTGTTAGATGTAAACATTTTTAAAATACATTATCAGCTGCAATTTCTTTGCTAAAAGATGGTAATGGGTAGAAAAGACAGCAACCTCTGATTTTGCAGTAATGTGTCAAAATTTTGTGTGTAGGAGGAAGGTCGCTCACTGAAGGATTTCTTTTTTTCCTTGCAATGAGAGTGGTATTAATGACAATCTTTTGACATAACAAGGTATTGTCTTAAACTGAGTTGTTTTGACGTGCTACTTGACAGACAAACCAGTGCCATTTGCTGGAATAGACATTTCTACGTAACGATTTTCAGAAGGAATTCATTGTGTGCAAAGCTTTTTGAAATGTTTCTACGTGGTAGTGAAAGTGTTATATTGCTGGTAGATCCCTCAGTGTTACATATGGTTTGAGTTCTGATTTATACTCTGGATCTGTTATAGCTCATTATCATTGCAGTGCAGTGCACTTAATGAAGCACTTTATGATGAAGCAGTATTTATATCAAATTAATACTGCATTGTACAGATCTACTTGTAATACTATCTTCGTGGCCCATTGCAAACCATGTTTAAAAGTGTAAGTAACAATACTCTTCCCTCTCCTTTATTTACATGATTGTCCCACAGACTAGTCAAGCAATAGTCTGACATTGTTGGTAAGGCATGTTTCTGTGAGTATGACTATGTTGCAGACTGCACCGTTGCTGTCCAACCAGCAGGACAGACCCCACCAGAGGTTGGAAGGGAGTTGCCCTGGGAATCTTCAATATTGACTGTGGACCCCAGGATGGTTCATGACATTGAACAAAAGTAAGGAAACCTCCTGTTGATTGATTGATATTTTTTTTTTTTTTTTTTTTTTCCAACCCCCCCCCTACCTCATCAAGACATACACACACAAACACCCCTCTTCAGCTCATGAATCTGTATTCCTCAATGTTCGACACCAGCTTTTGAGGAAGCACTCAGGGTGGTAAGAACAGAATATACTCTGAGTGGGATCTTCCACATCCATCATCAAGAGTGCTTTGGTAACACTTGTTACTGATTTGAACTGATCAAGACCTGAAGTCCTTAGCTGCTAGATTGGGCTTGTGGCCTCAGGACTGATGAAGGGTGTAAACCCAAAACATTGACTTTCTTGTTCCTCTGATGCTGCCTGACCTGTTGTGTTCCTCCTGCTCCACACTGTATTGACTCTGACTCCAGCATCTGCAGTTCTCTCTAGGTAAGGGCAGCACATGCATGGGGACATCACCAACTGTAAGTTGTCTTCAAGCCACTTATTATCCTGACTTAGAGCAATATCATTCTTCCATTCGTTTTGTATGGTCATAATTCTGGAACTCCCTAACTAATTAACTCCCTAACATCTACCCCACGCAAACTGCAGTGATTCAAGCTCACTAAGATCTTCTCAAGGGCAATTAGAGATGGACAATAGCTTCCCTAGCCAATGAAAGAATTAAAAAGAAGTCATGAATTTTTTTTTCTCTCACAAGTAAAGTCATAGACATGTACAGCACGGAAACACACCCTTCGGTCCAACTTGACAATGACAACCAGCTATCCTATAAAAATCTAATCCCATTTGCCAGTATTTGTCTCATATCCCTCTTAAACCCTTCCTGTTCACATACCCATCCAGATGCCTTTTAAATGTTGTAACAGTACCCAACTCCACCACTTCCTCTGGCAGCTCTTTCCATTCATGCACCACCATCTGTAACCTGTATGCCTTTAATTCTTTTTGATCTGTATGTCTTTTGGTTGCTGTGATCTGCCTACACCGCTTGTAAATAAAGCTTTTCACTGTATTTTGGTACATGTGATAGTAAAATGAAAGTCAAAATCAAAATCACCTGCATGAAAAATTTGCCCCTTGGGTCCCTTTTATATCTTTCCCCTCTCACCTTAAACCTATGCCCCTCTAGTTTTAGACTTTCCCATCCCAGGGAAAAGAACTTGGTTGTTTACCCTATCTGTGCCCCTCATGATTTTATAGATCTCTATAAAGTCATTCCTCAGCCCCAACGCTCCAGGGAAAATTGCCTCGGCCTATTCAACCCCTCCCTATAGCTCAAATTCTACCCCCGGCAACAACCTCGTAAATCTTCTCTGACTTCTTTCTATTTTGACAACGCCCTTCCCATAGGAGGGAGACCAGAATTGCATGCAATACTCCAAAAGTGGCTGAACCAATGTCCTGTACAGCTGCAAAGTGACCTCCCAACTCCTGTACTCGATGCACTGACCATACTGTGTAGTAGCTTTAATGTGGTAACCATTGGAAAGTCAGTAAATAGCACTTAAATGGAGATTTGTTTTGTCATCCAGGCCTACCTGACTAATTTCAATCACAATATCCAAGATTAGCTTTGAAGTGCTTTTTCACTGACCTGTCTCATGTCAGTGATTATTTGGAATCATACAGAGTGCACAACAAGATAGTTAGGGAACCATAGAATTTCTACAATGTGGAAGCAGGCCATTCGGCCCATCGAGTCCACACCAACCCACCAAAAGCATCCTCCCCAGGCCTATCCCCACCCTGTCCCTGTAACCCTGCGTTTCCCATGGCTAATCCACCTAACCTACACATCCCTGGACACTGTGGGCAATTTAGCATGGCCAATCCACCTAACTTGCATATCCTTGGACTGTGGGGAAAAAACTGGAGCACTGAGCAGAAACCCATGCAGATACATGGAGAATGTGCAAACTCTGCACAGACAGTTTCCCTAGGGTGGTATTGAGCCCAGGTACCTGGCGCTGTGAGTCATCAGTGCTAACCACTGAGCCACTGCGCTGCTGGTTATTGGAAGCCAGTCATCTCAGTATCTCCGTTTTGGGGCATTACTGCAGGAGTTCTTCAGGGGAGTGACCTAGGCCTGACCATCTTCAGTTGATTCATCAATGATCTTCCTTCCTCCATAAGGTCAGAGGTGGATATACTTTGATTGCAAAATGTTCAGCACTATTTGCGGGCTCACAGATACAGGAGAAGCCCGTGTCCAAATGCAACAAGACCCAGACAACATCCAGACTTGGGGTGATAAGTAGAAAGTAACATTCACGCCATGTAAGTGTAGGGCAAAAACCATCTCCAATAAAAGAAAATCCAATAATTACCCCCTTGATGCCCAATGGCATTACCATTGCTGAATTCCCCACAATCAACATCTTGGGGGAGGGGGTTACCATTGAAAAGAAACTGAACTTAGACCAGTCATACATATACTACAGTTGCAGGAGCAAGTCAGAGGCTTGGAATTGTTTTGATCAGCAATGAGAAAAATCTTACCCCAAATAACTTTTGTCCAGAAACCTATTTGTAGTTAAACTGTGTAAAAGCTTCAGACATGGCACATTTCGCATTTTATGCCAAATTCTTTCAATATATTTTTTCTATTCTAATTCCAAAGAAGCAGGGTGACACGACCGCTCCCATAATGTATTAGTAGTAGCAGCTAATACCCATTCAGTGCATGGGTGAAAGATTGTATCAAAACTTAAGAAAAAGCTTGGAATTGCACAAAGGTTTGTGACAGGTCAGAAGGTTGGACAGATTGTTTCTTTTTAAAAATGCAAAGAATGACTAAAAAGTTAAGGAGGGAAAATTATTCGGGATAAGTGAGTACAAGAGAAACCTAGCTAGAATTGCAAACAGCAAGTACTTCAACAGATATTTAAGAGTTAATAGTGAAGTGAACATTGGTTCTTAAAAAGTGAGCAAGGAATTAATAACAGAAAATAAGGAGATGGTGGATGAATCAAACAGGTGTTTTGAATATGATCAAATTCCCAGAAGTAGCTGTAAATCAGGAAGTGGAAGGGAGGCAGGAAGTCATGAAAATTACAATCACCAGGGAAGTGAAACATACACATTGTTTGACCTGTAAACTGACAAGTCCCTGGGTCCAGGTGGACTTCATTCTTGGGTCTTAAAAGAATCTGCTAATGAGACAGTTGATATGTTGATTTTAATTTTCCAAAAGTAAAATGAGTTCAAGGAAAGTTCCTTTCTATTGGAAAATAACAAACGTAGCTCAAATTCCAAAAGAGGTGGAGGCAGAAAGCAGGAAACTACGAGTGAGTTTGTTTAACATCTGTAGGGGAAGATGTTCGAAGCTATGGTTAAGGACAGTATAATAGGGCACTTGGGAGCAAAAAACCACAGTGTCAACATGGATTTGTGAAATGGAACACCTGTTTAACTATATATTGGAGCTCTTTGGGGACATAACATGTGCCATGAATAAAGTGGAACTGCTGGATGTAATATAATTAGGTATATGATCTCAATAAACATTTTTCTGTTAAATACATAGATAATTCAGAACAAATTGAATAACTTGTACGGATGAATTGTGTCTTATTCTGAGATATAACCACAAGATAGTCAGAACTGGACTGAAATGTACCAGCTTGTAAGATCTACAGCAAAAGGCAGGGAGAGTGTCAGAGGGGGCAAGAGTAACCTCGTGGTTAAGATGAATTTGCTTCAATGATGAAGTAGGATATCACAAGGTAAACAGGCAGTGGAAACCCTACGGGGAGAGCTAAGAAAAAGATTTGGATTTAAGACTGTACTGGGTGTTGAAATAGTTAATATAACATGAGAGATTGGAAACTCTTAGCAAACACAAAATGGTCGTGATGGAGAATTTTAACTTTCTTGTTATAGATTTGAGAGAAACGGACCAGCTCATGCCAGAAAGACAGAATTTCTTGATTATGTTCAGGATAGTTTTCTGCAACAATACATCCTAGATTTAATATGGAGTATGTCAAACAAATTTGACTACTAATGACTTCTGAACCAGGTTTAGTTAACAAAATTGGTGTGGGAACTTTGATCTAACCATTATCAAATCATGATTGAGTTCAATGTGTTTTAAACAGCAGTAATAATTCTAGTATTAGATGGTGACTTCAATAGGTTTAAAAATAATAATTTTTTGAGTGAAATAATGGAAGATCAATGAAACGAGCTCAAAACAAAACAAATTAACAGTAGAACTAATTTATGCTACTAAGGGGCAAGGTGTGTTTGGCAAAAATAGCCTTGGAAATTAAGGTTAAAAGGGCATGCAAAAATACAAGAACTATCAAGGATTCTAGTAGTTAGGAAAGATACAAAGAACAATGGAATGTGATGAGACAAAGTAAGAGCTACAAAAAAAAAGTATGCAAACCTTCAAGTAAGGTAAAGATCAACAGATTTTTATGATTGGATCAGGACAAAGATTGATTTATGAATGTGGTGTTTTTCCAGATGATTACTTGTGGTACTGTGTGGTATTTATCACCTCAGTCAGTGCATGGTACCAGATCTAGTTTGTTTGAGGTAGCTCACTGCCACCAATCCTCCTTAGGCTCTAGACACAAGATAGCCAATCTTGAGTCGTGATAGAGGCTGCGTGTCCATAGAGTTATCACTGTTCTTTGATAAGATAGCGTTAAGTTCAACTACATTTGGTTGGGCATAATTACAAAGAGCTTGGAGAGCTGTTGCAGATGAATCTGTTCCCACCGGTAGCTAGAGCAGAACTGCTTGTCTGTTCCCATAGACTGAATGATATTAGAAGAATAGGAGGAACCAGTGAACATTAACTTCTTCAGAACCATTACCTTATACAACAAAGAAAAATATAGGTGCTTTGCAACTGATCATAGAGTTGTACAGCACATAAGTCATGTTGATACTGTCAGTGAACATAAGAAAATGATAGACACACTGATTGATTAATTCCTTTGCCTAGTGAGGAAGAGTTCAGCCTGCTGGGCATCCCCAGGAAGCTCATTTCAATCAGGAACAGGAACTCTCCAAAATAGAATAAAATAACAGTAATCAAGAAAATAGTGGGACTAAAGAATGAAAACTCCCAGGTCATGTGGTTTCTACCAGGATTTGAACGGAAAGAAGTAGTAGGATTGCAGGTACCCTAACTATAACCAAAGTTCTCTGCATTAAGGAGCCTTTGCTCTTGATTGGAATATTGCATTGTGTCTCCAGCTATTTTAGAAAAGTGAAAGAGGGAAATCTAGGACCTATAGACCAGTTGAGCTTGAGGGTTTTGGACAACATTTTATAAAACCCTTCTTACGGGACCACGACTTGAAATTGACTTAGTTGGTATACTGCAGAGTGGCAGGGGACTTGAAAAGGGATATTGAACAGATATTCTAATTGATCGGATGTGACTAGTGGTTTCCAGCAAAGATCTGTGTTGGGGCATCAAAGTATGCATTGTATTAATAAATGGCTTGGGTAACTGGCTAGAAAGCCATAAATTGAAATTTTGCAGTTCCGCAGAGATAGGGAACATTGTAAACAATGTAGATGATATTGAAAGTTAGTGAGATGGATTAAGTGAGTAGACAACACATTTGTAAGTGGATTTCAGTGTAGCCAAATGCAAAGTCATCCACATTGGACCTAAAAAGGATGGACCAGGGGACTTTCTAAATAGTGAAAAGCTGGAAACAGTGGGTGCTCACTTCCTGTTCTTGTCAGGGTTTACATACAGTGTGCACAAGAAATTACCAGCCAACCTTGTGAAGCAGAGAGGAAGAAAACACGAAGGAGTGGACAGTGATCGGATGGTCAGCAATATGTGGTTTTAAATTTTTATTCATTTTAAGTGTACCATGGAGATAGATTAAGGTTAATGATCAAGACAAACTAAATTCCCAATGCTTCCCATAGTTCGGAACTCTTCTCTTTCTCCAGTGCAAGATCTGGGTGCTGAAAACCTGTGTGTATAATTGGGATCCAAGTTAAGTGCCCTCTGACTCCACAGACTCTGACTTTGTTCAGTGCTGGCAGGTGGGATTCTGGTGTAAGGACGAAAACAGAGCAGGTTTAGTGGCAAATTTTTAATCTGTGGTATTTTATTCTGAGGAACTAGGTTGCAATTTCTTAAGCATTTTCATTGCGACCGTTGTGGGCAGCAGAAAAATCTCAAAGGATTCTTTACACGTTATCCACTGATTCAACATGTTGCAATGAAATACATGGACTGCCTGTATAATCTAAAATATTATATGACAATAAAATTGTAATGATAGATCCAAGAAATTTTAATAATGTAGTTCAGATTAAACCTCCAACTAAGCTAATGAAGTTAGACTTGCATAACCAAATAACAGCATCTTTTTGAATTACAGAATTATTGTAGTGGGAAGGAGGTCGTTTGGCTCATCTTATCTGTGCTGATTCTTCAAACAAACATTTCATAATTTTTCTGCTTTCTTCAGATAATCCTGCGCATTGTTCTGGCAGCACTTCTGGAGAGAGGTAGTTACAATATTGAGTCAAATACAATTTCTGATGCTGCCAAACCTTATCCAGTATTGGGATGTTGTATGCTTTAACCACTTGGCAAACCTGTCTTGCCATCTTCTGATGACTCCTGTACATATGCACCTAGCTCCCTCTGCTCCAGTGACCTCTTTAGAGTTATAACCTTTATTTTACATTGTCTTCCTACCAAAATGAATAACCTGTTGAACTTCATCTGCTACCTCTTCAACCATACTGCAAACTTCCTTTTTATGCCTTTATGGAAAGTGGGTGTTGCTGGCAAAGTCAGCATTTATTGCCCATCCCCAATTACCTTTGACCTGCATCAGAGGGCAATTGAGAATCAACCGCATTGCTGTGGGTTTGGAGTCACATGTCTGCCAGACCAAGTGAGGCTGGCAGACATCCTCCTCTAAAAAAAGGCCTTAGTGAATCAGATGGATTTTTATCAAACAACAATAGTTTTGTGGCTACCATTAGTAGTAGTTTTTTTTTAATTTCCGGCTTTATTCATCGAATTAAAATTTCACCATCAGCCAATTTCACCATCAGTGGGATTCAAACCTATATTTGAGCTGAGCAAAGCATAGCCAGGGATGCTAGACATTGTCACTACACCACCACTTGCCCCACTCTTTTTTTTTTCTTTTGAAAGTCATTAAAATATATCAGAAAAAGCAGGGGTCCCAGTGCATACCCCTGAGGAACCCACTACAAGCCGCCTCTAGTCAAAAGACCTATTGTGCCTTGTTTCCTGTCATTCAACCAACTTTATATTCATGCTGCTACTGTTCCTTTTTATTCCACAATTTCATTTTTGCATCAAGCTCGAGAGGTGTTACATTAACTTTTCACATTTGCCCAATAATTTGGATGAGTTATTACGAGAATGTCAGTGTTGGGTGACATCCCAAAGCTAGCTTGCTTCAATTAAAGAAAGATAAATTAGCTTTCTCACTTTCTGAGAAAGCAGAAAGATGGGAAACTGTTATAGCTCAGGTGAGTGTGTGGGATTTGCAAAGGCTATTAAATGGTGTGGCTGATGACCCATAGTTAAGCTAGCAGCTTCTATCTCACTGGTTAGAGAAATCCATCAGTTACACATTGCTCAAACACTGTAAATTGCTATTTACTCAAAGACAGTGCAACACTCAGCTGCTGATGTTGTAACAGTATTTACCTCCAGTATAAATAGTTATCTTCAGTTGATAATTTCACTTTCCAAAGGACTCACTTCACAGATGAACAAGAATTAAATTGTGAAGCTATTATTTATCAAATCCCATAATGTTTCAAATATAATTTGTGCAATTTCATATGGTGAGAAAGACCCAAACATCAGCTGTATATTTGATGAAAAAAATTCCAAACTCAGTTAAAGCTTATGTTAGAAAAATCTCTAGACAGTTTCTGTGACTAAGAGAATGAAGGGTGCTCCAGGAGACCATGTTTGTTTATAATATATCATTAGGTGTAATTAAAGTAACCTCCAATATGTCCAGATTTTCTTGGGAGTTTAAGAGTATACCAGATCAAAAATTCCATTCCTCACATACTAGGTCATCCCCAAGTTTGAGGCACCTTTCCTTATTTTACATTTTAATACCTATTAACATTCCTGCCAAAATAATTATCTCCTCTCTTCCACATCCATTTTGGTTATACAGTTCCACACAACTGCTACCCAGTACAACTAGTAGTATTTGTAGAGTTCAGTTAGCAATGGCTGGTTATGTACAAAAGGAACATTTAATATCTTATTTTCTTGGAATTGGATTTTACACAAGTCAAGAAGCTGGATAGTTTTAAAACATGCTAGCTTTGATACTAGGATTTTTAGATTGAGTTAATTCAGCTGTTAGCTACTATAATAACGGCGCAGTATAGAATTTACAAACCTTGTACTCATGATCAAACTATTCTCTTCCCACACAATGGCAGACTCATACTGTTCAATGAGATGTGATGCTAGAGCCAGCATGACGTGTGGCTTGGCAAGGGAGAAAAAAAATTTCTATTTTGGAGTCTTTAAGATGTATAAATGTGTGTTTTGCTGCTGTATTTGTGAATCTCTAACCCAAGATAATAGTATCCTGTTGGGTGTACTCCAGATAAAATGACCTCACCCCAGTATATGATGTATCAGCTCCAAAAATAAGCAAACGAACATTCAAGAGGATTATTTCACCAAGAGAAATAGATCAGTAAATGTAGTTTTCTGTTTTTATAAACTCTTAATCTGGGATAGTAATTTCTAAAAGGCAGGACCTAAAGCAACATCTAAAATGTTTGATTCTGAATCAAAGTGAATTCTGTCTGGTAGATAAAATGTTGAAAAATTAATTCTTTACTTCTGATGAGAATATAATTAATAACAGTGGGGTATCAGGGAACTGAAATTACAGTTTGGTGCATTCACTGAATCCATTGTTTTAAGTAGATGTAGGTCTAAATAAGATGGAAAGGAATTGGAGCCTTCAGTATCCAAAGCTGCAGGATTGCAAGATGTATGAAAGTTGTCAGAGCGACCTGGACTACTTGCGGGGGGAGTGGGGGAGGGTGCTGTGGGGGGAGTGGGGAAGCAGTGCAGTGGAGCAACAGAGTTAGGTCAGGTACCTGGGTGGCTGGTGTGGAACAGATTGGTGCCAATAGTACAGGGTTTCTTCTCAGTTCCGCCGGGGTGGATTTGGGACTTGCCTCCTTGCCATTTCCATTATGGTGACCTCAGCGCTGTGGGTTGGTCCTTCCTTTGGCCAAATAATTAAAGAAGATAAAGATTTCAAGAAGAAATAAACATTGCTGGGAGAATGCAGTATAAATGTGCAAATACTAGGCAAAGAATGGCTGAATACAAGTTATGATGAGATTGCTTGGTGTTATGTCTATATGAGGGTTTGCCTGTAATAGGAATGTCTCTCATGGTAGACAATGGTTGCCATCTCTGAAGGTTTTGCTGGGTGCAGCTTGTTGATTGCAGCCTACTGTTAGAGACTGGGTGCCATCTGCTTCATCTTCTAAGGGGAGTATAGACACTGACAACATTAACTAATGTTGAATAAAGACATTGTGGTATGTGCTCAGTACATCAGCTGTTGTGCTTGCGGTGTTTTTTAAAATTCTTTTATGGGATGTGAGCATCACTGACATAGCCAGCATTTGTTGACCATCCCTAGTTGTGCTAGACAAGGTGGTAGTGTGCCTGCCTCCTTGAACCACTTCAGTCCGTCTAGTATCAGCTCGCATTGCACTGCTATTAGAAAGGGAATTCCAGATTGTTGACCGGAAAGGAACAGTGAAGTGGTTCCAAGTCAGGATGGTGTGTGACATGTAGGTAGTGGCATTTGGGGAGAAGGGATGGTATCTATGAGAAGTTTAAAATCTGGCTGTCAAAACATTGGAGAAAAGCAGATGATGATCTTCAATAACTGAGCAACTACTGATATTGTAGTGTGCTCAACATTTTTATTTTATTGAAAAACCCAAATGAAGGGACTATTATCAAGAATGCATCAAGGTTGAAAAGAATTCACTTCAGACCTAATCTGATTAGGTAATGAAGAAGGAAATATTGTGACTGATAAGGAACTGAGATTTGTGGAAAGACTGGTTGGAGGAAATTGACGTGATCTTTCTTGTATCATATTGAGGGTGGGACCAGATGACATTGGGAGAAGTGTCTCCAACTCTGGTTAGACCTATTCCTGGAGGTTCGCACATGCACATGCGCACCATGCCATTTCTCTAACTAATCTCTCTGCCACAGCAATTACAAAGTGAATTCATTCTTCAGTAGCCAATTAAACATTTTCTTTTTCAGTTGGTCAAAAAGGATTTTGTGCATTTTCATGATAGTGAACAAAAGTGGTCAAGTAAAATTAGAAGGATGCAACCTTTCATCAGCCCTATGATTTTTCTCCTGAGTTGTTTCCAGAATGTCCTAGAAATTAGTCTTTAATTCCTGGGGAGCCCAAGGCAATCCTGGAGAGTTGGCAACCCTCCAGAGTTCCAGACCCTTTGTAACTTGGCTCCAATACAGAGAGATCTCAGCCATTCTGTCAGGAATTCTATAAATGTTTTCTCTGATAGAAGGAAATTAAAATTCTTTGTTTGATCCCTAAGGCTCAGTTTTCAGTGTGAAAGGTATGGTAGTTAGATAGTAGGCTGGCATCAGTTTGAGAGAATGCTCTGTGCTTGAGGGAGGTATATTAACAGTTTAACTAAAAAGATAAAGGAGGTCAAAGAGAAATACACCTCTTTGTGACTGTGGCAACGTTGAGAGATGTTAATTAAAATCAGTTTGGGGTGAGCTGTGAGTACTTCTAACTGATTGCTGTGACAAGAAAATAAAGTCTGAAGATGGATAAAATGCTTGTAGAGATAGGTGGCAGGCTTGATGAACCAAAGTGGGTCCTGCCTGGTTTATCAATTACTAGATAGGAGTATGAATAATGTAGCATCGATTCAGTTTACCTAATGTGTTATTACCAATATGGTAATACAGGCTTTCCCACATTCTACAGTACTGCGTAGAATTTCTGACATGGATGAAGGAATTTTTTTGCCACTTTTCAAAAAAGCCTGTCCAACTCCAAAGCCCACCTACTGAAGAGAAACTTCACCTGTAACACTACTGCAAACGGCTATTGAATCTAAGTGGGCTCTGTTGCTGTCCATAGAAGTTGGATCATCTGGCTGTTACGGAAGTCACTGACTGACTTGTGTCCCCTCTGGTGGGAGTAGGACCCGGTAAGTGTAAAAATTATTTTCTCTGGCGTTCTGAATTAGATATCAGCATTGCACATGCTACTTCCATCGCTTTGAAGGTGGACTGAGCATGTGCTATTTCCATCGATTTGATGTTGGGCTGGATGAAACTGCTGATTTCCAAATACTCAAGTTGAATTTGATGTAAGATGCTTAATAGAATGGGTATAAGTTTTTTTTTTTTTTTTTTTTTTTTAAAATACTATTTCAAAAATATGTAAAGGAGACTTGCAGGCTAACCCGTTATGGTGGATATCTTTATGTAAAATGATTGACTAAAGTGGCCAGTGGTGCTTTCTTTTCAGTCAGCTGTTGCCTGACTTCTGTTTTATTGTAAAGCAGCTTTCCCTGACACACCAGGGTTAGGAATTTGTCAACACCAAATTGCTAGATGTCATCTTGAGTAATCATAGTCTCTGCAAGAAAGCAATTTCCACCTTCTTATTGTAATAATAACTTTTTCTGCATTCAGTATCAGAGCTCTGTGCAAGGGCATTTTGGGAAGCTAAAGATTTTGCCTTTGCCCCTTGACTGATCCTTGTTACCCTCTATTCAGGCAAAGCAGTTATATGGAAAGTAGGGGTGGTGACCTCCAAGAACCAGAACGTAAAGCCAAAAAAGCGGGCTAAGATGAAATAATATGGATAAGTGCAGTCAAATAAACTGATCATCTTTTTAAAAAAACAACCTTGTCGAGAGTCCTGTGGGCAGGTAAGTAATGTTAAAACAAGATAATTACCCTGAGTTATTTGATAAACCAGGTATTCATCTGTAAGGATCTTGAGTAGTAACCCCATATGTGGTGTGGGGCATTAAATAAATTCAGTATCTTGAACTTGAGGCAGAGGCGTCAATGAAGAACAACCAACTGGCAGATGACTACACTGCTCTTTGGAGCACACCTTAGCTATCAGAGAACTTGTAATTACTGCACTACAATATTAACTGCAGCCTCCGCACAGAAACCAGTTGGGTAATTTTTTTTAATCTCTTCTTACAGCAAATCATAAATTTTATATAATAATTATATGTATTTTTGATTTTTCTACATGTTTGGTTTAACTGTTGATAAATAACATCACTATTTAGGGGCTTGAATTTTTACAGTTCTTTGACCTGTATAAATTTAATACAGTGGCAATGCATAAAACATACGCAATGAGATTTCAATTGAGATACCTGCTGTCTCAATGTCAAGAGTCACACGTAACATAATCAATCAGCTGAAAGAAGTGTTGGGTGCTTGTGTGGAAGCTTGCTGAAGGGGGCAATGTTTGCCTATTGTCAGTGTGTGCATAATAAGGTGCTACTTTACATTCTTGTGCCACATTTTAAGTGTTTGCATTATGATTAGTGTATTAGTTTGTGAAAGTTTTCGTTTAAGGAGCACTTGCACAGAGGATCCCATTCTTCCATTAGGAGATTGGTTCAGAAAGAACAAAACAGCAAAATTAAAGCCACATTTGCCAGTGTATTAGAATTAGAGAATCCTGACAGTGTGGGATCAGGCCACTTGGCCCATCAATTTCACACCGACTCTCTGGAGAGCATTCCACCCAGACTCACCCCATCCCTGTAACCTTGCATTTCCCATGGCCAATCCCCCTAACCTGCATGTCTTTGGACTGTGGGAGGAAACCGGAGCACCCGGAGAAAACCCACGCAGACACGGGGAGAATGTGCAAACTCCACACACGGTCACCCGAGGCTGGAATCGATCCTGGATCCCTGGTGCTGTGAGGCAGCAATGTGAACCACTGAGCCACTGTGCCGCCCTTTTCTGTTAATCTGAGATTAAAATCCCATCAAATAACGATTTTAAAAGGTTTATAAATCTAACTTTTTAAAAGAATTTTAAAAATGATTGAGTGAACAGTTTCTGGAATCTTTATTTTCAGGATTTCATATTTGAGTTGCCAGGTTGGTTTGTAATGTTTTTTTTCTGGTAGGCTTCTGAATGGATTGCGAGCTTGAATAAACTTGTGTCAACAGAATGACAATGAACGAGATTGAACTTAATCCTATGTTGAATATTGATCATATTAATGTTATGAATATTAATATAATTCTGTGCTGGTTGTGCTTAGTAGCCAGCTGAAAGCACTGTATAGTGTTACAGAGTAGACCCCACTTTAGGCACAGTTGACAGTGAAATGTCATTAGGAACATCCTTACCCTTGTCAAGGTTTTATCCACACTAAATGACAATATTATCCCTGCCCCTACAAATAGTAATTATAACTATGGTTTAAATATCTAGATTAAAAACACATGAAAAGCTTTCACAATTGAAGATATATTTAATTCTATGATTTAAGCCTTTTGTTTGTTATCCATGATACACCGCTCAAGATCTGGTTGTCCTTGCACCTTTGTTGAGAAAGTGACGTTCTGTTTAACACATTTGCTAAACTCCTTCTATATAAGTAAGAGACTTGAAAGAGCTCTTTGCTGAGCACCTTCACTAAAAGCAGATCAAAGACTTGCGTGGGAAATCAAAACCTGGAACCCACAGCTGACTACACCATCTTGTGTCATCTGTTACAATGACCTTTGTTTTCTGATACTTGACATGATGCAACTTAGTTCTCCATGAACAATAACCTGCCCTTCATTTAAACAAGCTCATTTTTTGCTTGCTATAATTCTGGAGGCAACCCTTTTGCAATGCACTGTTGCATTTGGCTGATTGCAATTTACCATAGAAAGCGGAGAGCTGTGGTATTTAAATTGAAATTTTATTATCTTTAGTGTAGGGTCAGTGAGTTCAATTGTGCAGTGAATTCCCTGGTGGGAAGAATAATATAACCGACTGCTCAGAAAGATCTGAAGTTGTATGGTACTCATGGGGGGGATTTCATGGGAGCTGATTACTGGTAGCTAAATGACTCTGATCCATTAAAGGACATTGATTTGATAATTTTTGATGGTTTAATAGATATAGTCTCAAAAACAATGAATATCCTAAAACAATTCTATTTGAATATTGATGAAAAAGGATATTCTTTGTTGAAGGTTTTCATTTGCACTCGGCATTTGCAAGATCACGTATATGAGGGGAACAACATCTTTTTTTGTTGTCTGAGAAGAGACTGCTGATTGTTTGGTAAATGGATTCTGGTTTGGAGACGTGTTTCAATGGAAAATGCACCACTTTTTGATAACTGATAGTTCACTGCCAGACTTTGAGTAAATTTAAACCAGGTTGACTCTGGTCATAGAGTCATAGAGTCATACAGCATGGAAACAGACTCTTTGGTTCAACCAGTCCATGCTGACCATGTTCCCAAACTGAACTAGTCCCACTTGCCTGCATTTAACCCATATCCCTCCAAATCTTTCCTTTTCATGTACTTATCCAAATGTCTTTTTTAAACATTGTAACCGTGACTGCATCTACCACTTCCTCTGGCAGTTCATTCCACACACTATCCACTCTCTCTGTGTATAAAGAGTTGCCCCTCATGTTCTTTTTAAATCTTTCTCCTCTCACGTTAAAAATATACTCCCTAGTTTTGTACTTCCCCACCCTAGGGAAAAGATCCTTACTATTCACCTTATGCCCCTTGTGATTTTATATACCTCAATAAGGTCACCCCTCAACCACCTGTTATCCAGTGGAAAAAAATCCCAGCCTATCCTTATAACTCAAACCCTCAATTCCTGGCAACATCCTGGTAAATCTTTTCTGAACCCTCTCCAACTTTAATATTAATCTTCCTGTAGCAGGGTGACCAGAACTGTACACAGTTCTTCAGAAGAGGACTCACCAACATCCTGTACAACCTCAACGTGATGTCCCAAATCCTATACTCAAAGGTCTGAGCAATGAAGGCAAGTATGCTGAACACCTTCTGTCTACATGTGATGCAAATTTCAAAGAATCATGTACCTGAACCCCGAGGTGTCTCTGTTCCATTACAATATCCAGGGCCCTACCATTAATTGTAAAAGTCTTCCCCTTGTGTGTTTTACCAAAATGCATTGTATTCATCCGAATTAAATTCCATCTGCCACTCCTCACCCCATTGACCCAATTGATCAGGGTCTCTTTGTAATCTTAGATAATTCTTCTTCACTGTCCATTTTACCACCAATTTTGTCATCTGCAAAGTTACTAACTTGAGAACAATTGTCACCTATTTTGCCAAGTTGAAACAGTCGCAATGTGGATATGAGTTAGTTCTGCCTGTAAACCGTGCCCTGTGTACTAATGAATGTGATTTCAAGCACTCGTGTGTGCCACACTGCAATGCCAAATGACAATGTAATTCTTGATGCACCTAGGCAGTTAACTGTCAGTAATCCTCTGACTGGAACATTCTTCATTCTCCACGATAATATCAACCAGAGACCACTAGTCAGCCTCCTCTCGTCACATGGTGTCAAATGTTGTTCCCCTTAACTTTGCAAATATTCCTGTGCTATAAAGCTTTGACAAGACATATTTTGTTAAGTAATATTTGAATTGGAAAAGTACTTGAGTTTGACAAAGGGATGGTAAGCACAGAATTTAGAAATAATTATTTTACATACTATGCTAATTTTTTGGAGTGGATTTCCTGTGGAGATTAACTATGCTGTCAAATTGCAGTTGGAGTTTAATATGTATTTTCAAATGCTGTAACAGCGAGATAGGAGTACTTTCTGGGGGACTTTGCAATTGACCATTGGAACTTTACAATCTTTTCTATTCTTTTTATGTTTTTATTCCCTTATTCTATGTTTAATATATCCTAATATAGTCATACCTTACAGATACCATCACCACCCCTGAGTATGTCTTGTCTGATTGGCAGGAGAAACAAGCAGGGATGAAAGTCCTCAACATTGACTGTAGGCCTCATAAGGTCTCTTGGAATAAGATCGAACATGAGTAAAGAAACCAGCTGCTGATTTTACCTATTCTGCTCTCACCTTCAGCTGAAAAATCAGTACTCCACCTTGAGCACTAATTGTAAGTAGCACAGTGGGTGACAACAGCACAGAATGTACTTCAGTTATGTACTTCCATATCTATCACTAGGAAAGGCTGATAGCACCACCACTGACTAACTGAACTGGCCAATTATTTAACCAGAAAACTTCTAGATTGGCCTGTGATGGGTGATGAGGAAGCCATGAGGCACTGTCTGCCATCAGTTGCAAAATTCTGTCCAAACACAGTCTGCAATCTCATGCCCAGTAAATTCCCTGCTTTACCATTGCCATCAAACTATGGTTCAATGAAGAGTGCAGAAGGCATACCAGAGGCATCAATGAGGTGTCAATGTAATGAAGATACAACATGACCACTTCTACATGTCAAGTAGCTGAAGTAGTGTGTGATAGGTGAGGATGAGCAACCCATACCAACATATTGTATTAAAGCTCTACAGTCCTGCCACTTCCAATCATGAATGGTAATGACAACTGGACAAGCAATTAGAGGAAGAGGCTGCACAAGTATTCATGCCCTAAGTGATCGGGGAGCCCAGCATCTCCGTGCAAGACAAGGCTGAAATACTTGCAACCGTCTTCAGTCATGAGTGCTGCATGGGTGATCCATTTTGGCTTCCTCCTGAGATCCCAACTGTTACAAATGTCAGTCCTGGGTCAATTTAGTTGACTGCACAGGATATCAAGTGATAGCTGAAGGATCTACGGGGCCTCGACCACATTCTGGCAGTGGTATTGGAGGTTTGTGCTGCAGCACTATTCACATCCTTAGCAGGCTGTTCTAGTACAGCTACAGCACTGGCATCCACCAAACAATGTGGCTAAGTTGCCCATACATGTCCTGTTTTGTGTGGACAGGACAAATCCAACCCAGCCATTAACTGCCCCACTAGTCTACTCTTGATCATCAGTAAAGTGATGGAAGGTGTCATTGACAGTGCTATGAAGCAGCACCTGCTCAGCAATAGCCTGCTCAGTGATGCCCAGTTTGAGTTCTGCCATGGCCACTCCACTCCTGACCTCATTACAGGCTTAATTCCAACATGTTCCAAAGAGCTGAATTCCACAGATGGGGTGAGAGAGGCATCAAGGAGCCCTAGCAACACTGGAGTCAGTGAGAATGAGGGGAAAGCTCTTTGCTGGTTGGAGTCTAGCCTGAGACAAAGGAAAATGATTGTGATAGCTAGAAATCGGTCATCTCAGCTTCAGGCCATCTTTGGGAGTTCCTTGGGAGAACATCTTTGGCCTAGTCTCTACAGCTGCTTTATCAGTGACCCCCAACAAAAGGTCAAAAATAGGGATGTTCACTGATGAATGCACATTGTTCTGCACCATTCGCAACTCCTCCAATACAGAAACAGTCCATGCCCGAATACGGCAAGGCCTGGACAATATACAGACTTGGGCTGACAAGTGGCAAGTAATATTCATGCCACACAAGTGCCAGGCAATGACCACCTCCAACAAGAGAGAATTTAGCCACTACCTTTGACATTCAGTGACATTACCATCAGTGAATCCCCCACTAACAACATCCTGGAGATTACCAGTGACTAGAAACTGAGCTAGGCTAACCATATAAATGCTGTGCCTACAAATGTGGGTCAGAGGTTCGGAATCCTGCAGCAAGTAACTCAACTTCTAATTCCCAAAGCCTGTCCGCCCTCTACAAGGCAGAAGTCAGAAGTGTGATGGAATACTTCCCACTTGCCTGGATGAGTGCAGCACCAACAACAAACAAGAACTTGACACCATCCAAGATAAAGCTGACCGTTTTAATTAATACCACATCCATTGTCTCCATCATTGATGCTCAGTAGCGGCAGTGTGTACTATTTATAAGATGCACTGTGGACATTCATTGAGGCTCTTTTTTGACAGTACCTTCCGAAACCCATAACCACGTCCATCTGGAAGACCAAGAGGGCACCACCATCTGCAAGCTCTCCTCCAAGCCCATTCACCATCCTGGCTTGGAAATATATTGTCATCCTTTCCGTGTCGTTGAGTCAAACCCATTCCCTGAATGCATTGAGCTCTATCTGTAGCAAATGGACTGCAGCAGTTCAAGGTGGCAGCTCACCACTGCCTTCTCAAGGGCAACTAGGAATGGGCAATAAATATTGGATCAGCCAGTGATGCCCACATCCCATGAGTGAATAAAAAAACTTTCAGTTGCTGGTTCACCAGGAGATCTTCCTCCTCTTTGGAAGATCACAAATTTACTAGCTATTCTTTGACGAATCAAATGTATTAAGTAATAACAACATAAATTAATAGCAGCAACAATATGTATCTTCTAAGTGGTATGTTTGGCTAGCTCGACACATGATCATAACTCCTGCACTGGTTTACAATTATTTTAAAAATCGAATAGTTCTTTTAAGTTTCCAACCATTACTGAACTTGTCAGAGGAATTTTTTCTCCTTGAAGGTTTCCTGCCAATTTTCCCTTTTTAGCTTGGGCAAGTTGACAGAAAACGTTTGAAAAGCATGTAACCAGGCCTGACCAGAGGTAAATAAATAACTGTGGTGTTTCTAGAAACCTGCAAATCAGATACTGATTAATTAAAGCTACCAAAAGTCATTTGCATTTGCCTGGAGTCTTGCCTTGGACTTCAGTTGAAGGCAAACAACTATTTTATTACCTTAAGATAGAATAATCACTTATGTATTGTGACAGACTTTTTAAAAAAAAAAGCTAATTCTCTTTAAGGCATAATGTTTCAAAAACTCCCATCAAAGCCTTTAAAATAAATTCAATGTTTTATGAGTTGAATGCTAAATAATCACCACAAATCATCAGCTCCCATACCACAGCTCACATTGTTTTGCAGTGCTGAACTGAGACATTTTATTTCACACTGATTTTTGCCAGTTTTATGATACTGTGATTTTGGTGGTCTAGGATTCATAAGAATTGGAGCTGAGAAGATGTTAGCAAGTCTCATTGCTGGGTGTCTCAAAGGAAGCTATTTTATGATATCTGTGCACGAGCACCAATCATTACTGACAAGCAAGCATTGCAGTGAATATTTGAAAGGGTAGAACATTGGCTGGCACGTGGCACTTGGAACAGTGTACACAAGAAATCCAATAAAGAAACAGAAAAGAAGTGTTGACAGGTCCTTGGGAGGTGATCAGCCACACCACAGCAGTGAGGAAAGATGGTAATATAGAGGCTGCTGAACTGTTAGGTCCTGCAGCATAGTCTCGTATTGAGTCCCATGAGATCTAATTACCGGAGCTTCAGTTGTAGTCCTACAGTGCACTTTCTGCTCTGTCCACTGCCTAGTTTAAAAAGCCAATTATCGTCAGCTTTGAAAGACAATTGGTGAGCTGTGACTGAAATAGAAACTTCAATGAACTCTCCATTCGCACTTTTGTCATGTCATGCTTTGCTTCTACAAAAAAAAGTGCAGTTGAGAAGGGAAAGCACAATTAAATGAACTTCTCATTCCGACCCTTGCGTTTCATGTGCCTGGCAGCATTTGGATAAATGACTAATAGCTCACTCATTATATACGCCAACCTTCAAAACTAGCAGAAGCCAATCAGCAGCTTCAAAACAAAACCAACCAGAATGACCCTGACACATGAAATCAAGTAATTACTTAGACTGACTGTACAAAGATGTGTACAAGATACATAATCCAAGCAACAGTCCATCTGCTGAAGGCTGGGAGCATATCGACATGAGAGGCTGATGGGGAAATCTGTTATAGAAGGCAAAAAATAAGCATTGCATTTCATAGAATTGTAGAATCCCCAGTGTGGAAACAGGCCCTTCGGCCCAACAAGTCCACACCGACTCTCCGAGCATCCCACCCAGACCTATCCCCCTATAACCCACCTAATCTACACATCCCTCAACACTATGGGCAATTTTCTATGGTCAATCCACCTAGCCTGCACATTTTTGGACTGTGGGAGGAAACTGGAGCACCTGGAGGAAACCCACGCAGACACGGGGAGAATGTGTGCAAACTCCACGCAGACAGTTGCCCAAGGATGGGATTGAACCTGGGTTCCTGGCGCTGTGAGGCAGCCGTGCTAACCACTGAGCCACCGTGCCAACCAATCATTAGAAACCAGAGACAAAAACAGGAGATCTATACATAACCAAAGTTTATCATTGCAAAGTCAGTCAGGGAATTTGTCTCTTGAGAATATTTATAACTTTTAGATGATATATGATGCTTTCTGATCCATTTTAAATGCATTTAAACTGAATAGGTTTTTCACCTTAAACAGAAGGAACACTAATTTCCAACAATTCAACTGACCAGCCTTCCTCCAATAGCCAACTCTCTCTACTATTGCTACAGTTTAGCTTAGAGAGGCACTCCTTCCCTAGATGCATGGGTCAGAGATACTGGAACTGCATCTAAATCCATTCAACAGGGACACTCCCATCATTAACCCATCTAGTTCATACTGGCGCTCTTGTTCCCATTCAACCCAGTTACGGTACTCCTTGTCCTTTTTAGAATTCCTGCTTTGTGTTCATGCTGGCATCTGTCTTCTCTTTATACACTAGAGCACTGCTCTGAGTTTTTTCTCTCCACCTTCTTCCATTTATCTTCAGTGCCACCTATTTCCCTTTCCATCTACTGTCATTTTGTTGAGTTTCCTTTCCAATCGAGTGTAATTCCCCCTTTATAGTCAACCATTCTCTCCTTTTCCCTTTTTACTAATTTAGCAATGCAATTAATTTCACCTTTTGCTGTCGTCATCTTCCTTTCCCTCTCACCAGCCCTCCCAGTCTATTCTCTCCACACTCCAGTCCTACCAAGTCTGTGATCTCCTCTGTGACATGATAGTGGTAAAACAGCTCTGCTACTCCTTTTCGACATCTTTGCACACTTTGACACAGTTGATTACACTAACCACCTTCAGGGTCTCTCTCTTGTCCTGCTGGGAGTAACCGCCTGCATGTGAATACATTTCTTTCTGCCCTAGCAAGGGAATCATCTGCGGAAACTTCTTTTCCCACTTCCACATTATTACTGCTGGAGA